TTTTTTGCCAAAAATTGGATTTGCTCACCGAAGCTCTTGGCACAAGCGTTATCCATTCGGCCTGAAATATACTGCCAATCTATTATTATTATTATTATTATTATACTCTATGTCGGATGATGATTTTTTAAAATTACCTTAAAGAAAAGAGTCTGCGATTGAAAATGGTTGTATTCGTTGCTTTTATAATTTTCCCCTTTACATACACATGTAGATATGTATTTAAATTGGCGCTATACGTGCTACGTATGCATACAGTTATTAATAAAAAATCTTTGCAAATTTTCGTCGCCCTTTGCCTGCCATTCATTTCCATTTCCGCAAAAATCAGCCAACAAATGAAGGTCAATGTTAACGTTGAAAGTACTATCACTTACCCTGCAGTAAATCGCGCTAGTTCAGAAATAACTAGCATAACTAGCTCATTAAGAGGCAGTACTGGTTGTCAATCTATCCCAACACAATGCTTTTAACTGTCTATTTTTACATGGCCATGCCCTACGAAGTGGACGAATTTTTTAACTAGTTCTGAACTGATTCCATTTTGGAAAGTTCTGCGTCAAAAAGTTTTTTATGAGAAAAAATTGTGATTATTCTATTTATGTTATTTTCTCGTTTTTTCTTTTCTTTATAGACTGCATTTTATTTATTATTTTTTTTTGTATTTTATTTATTATTAATTATTATTAAGTTTCATCATTTTCTCTTCAATTTTTAATCGGCATTCAAGAATTTAAATTTATTAAATCTGAAAACCACAACTGCATCCACCGCAATTTGAACTCGCGACCAACGATGTTAGAGTCGGAGGTCTTCCTGCGTATCAGTTTTTCCGTTGAGAATTTTCAGAAAGTCGCAAAAACAGGGTCATTGACGAAAAAAAGGGTCACCTTATTATTTTTGCTTTTCGTTCCTAGTAAAAGAATAAATTTGAGAACCAAAGTCAAAATGAAATTTACATGTACATAAAAATTTAAAAAGAAAATAGCGGGACAAGATTTGCCCAAACACGGTTGCAAACATACACCATAATCGAGTTGCTGCAATGAGAAGAGTTGCATTTGCTTTAAAGGTTTCAAATAATGAATTTTTTCTTAATTACAGAAGGAAATATTTTATAAAAACATAGTTCTGTTAAAATTTCATTGCAAAATCTTTGAAAAGGAGCAAAATTCGCACATAATTTTGGAAAAGGGTAAAAAAAATCGAATTATTAAAAAGTCGGGTCAAAGGGTGTTGGCGCTTAAAAAGAGTCAAATTGCCCCTTTAGTCGCACAACGGCAACGTATTGTAGTCAGAATTTGTGCATCTACTTCTCAGCTTTCACACGCTAAATGTGAGAAACTTTGAGAGGTGCGCAACTACCACACCGAAAGTTTCAACTGTCCCGCTCTGCAGCCGTTTTGCACTAGTTCAGAGACACATAGTTTTGAAATTGGTAGGGTGGAACTAGCGCTTTCCAGGGTTAAGTATATTGCCTATTTGCACATACGTATGTATCTATGCGTGTAGGTTAGGATGCCTCACGAAAATAAATTTGCTTTTCATAAATTTGATCCTTTTATGGCTCTCACCCAAATACCAGTAGTTAATGTCGATTCTGTACCGTTCGTGAGGTAGAGCGCGTAAAAAATATTACTAAAAGTTACGGTTGTCGTCATATAATTTTTAGCTGGCACCCTTTTTAAAATAAATAAGCTTGATGATAGACAATTGGAAACTTAAGGCTCTGTCTCCACAGGAAAACACTGATGTCGTGATAATCATGTCAAAAAATATATTTCAATGTAGACCGCC